ACCAAAATACTAATAGAACACTACCACCACCTTACATATATGGAAATTACTTCTAATTCTTATATTCTAACCTAATGACTACCTTACATATATGGAATACTTCTAACTCTACACATCAATAACTTAAACCCATGATATGCCACGTTAGAACACCTCTCAATCTAACAGTTAATTCAAAGTGCTGGTGTATGACTGTATCCGCATAGAGAGATCACATCAGTGCCCCACAGGTGCCTTATATGCAAATCTCAGCATCTATTGGGAATATCTCTCATACTAGGATGTACTGTGGGGTGCCGATGATATAGAATATTCACAGATCAGTAACCAGTTTGGAACTGATATTGTATTTTTTTTTTTAAAAAAATGGTGTCACATCATTGTTATGTGACTGTGTGTGGAATCTGTTTTCTTAAGAAATATTCATTGTTTGTTTAAGTGTTTTTTCTACAAAAATGTTTTCTCATATCATACTTTGAAAATTAGAAAAGGTATGGCTTGAGAAAACACTCCTTTTGACATTTTCTTGTTTTATACTGATGTGACATTGAAAAATGTCCATGTGGCAGTAATGGTTAAAAAAATCCATTTTCTGAAAAAATGACATACCCATGCAACAAAATGACATCGGAGAAACAGCACCTAACACTGCTTAATACTTCACCAACCCATGATATGCCATGACATGGGGAATGTTAACCTCACAATCAGGTAGTGGTTCTAGGGTTTTTATTACCCCACTCTATCACAAGACAAGTGGCAAATTAATACAGTAATCCAATAACGTACAACTCAATTATTGCTAGATCTCGATCTTTTGTATATTAGACAAGTGGCAAATTAATCCAACAGGTCTCCATGAATGCAAGAAAAACGTGCAATTAGATGAAGACAAGTGCTGCTTTCAGTATGTTTTTATAATTAATTCAGTCAATTTTAATCTATTTTTTTTTTTAATCTAGGGTCATTTTCTTATAGTGGGAGAGTCAATGACAAATTAAAAAAAAAGAAATAAAATTACTGCTTTCTTCAAGTCTTCTTGGCCAACTACCCACATCTTTCCTTGAAAATTCAAAGACTAGTGAGTTCCTGTGATCTTTGTTGATGCCCACACGAAGCTTCTTGTTTCCCTGAATGGAGATTCAAAGTCTTCGAGAGCTCCAATAATTACTCATTCTAATAATACCCACTGATAGATGTATATTAGTGCACTTCAAAGCTCAAACTGATCTTCCTTCCATATTGGGCAACATGTATTTACTAAAGAAGATGATCGCATCCTTTCATTCCATGAGCATTAATTTGATTAGATTAATATATATCCAATTAAGTAGACATAGCTATGAGGAGCCACTGCATGGTGCAGTACTGCTAAAATCTTAGGTTGAGAGCAGTGCGAGAAGATGGGTTTGAGCATCAGATCAGCTACTTTTTGCATATAGCATTTGCACCGATAACATTGCATAGACGAGTTCAATTCTTGAGATCTTCAAATTAATAATCTAGTTTCAATATTTTTATTAGCAACCAAGGCCCCTTTGGTTTGCAGGTGGAATCAAAATCAAAATCCTTCAAAATTGAAATCAGAATGCATGATCTATTTCTATAGTCTGTTATTTGGTTTATACAGGCATGAAAATGGAAATTGGAATCAGTAGCAATGGGATTTCATTCCTAAGGGAGGGGTAGGAAATGACCATTCCCTCAAATGGGGGAATGCCATTCCAGCAGGAATGGAAATGGGATTCTGATTCTACACAACTAAACAATTGGAATTGAAGTAATCCATTCCGATTCCGACTCCAAACCCTTATTATAAACCAAATAGAACCTAAGAGTAAGTCCATTAAAACTTATGCTGGCATGGGTATTATATAGCAATGTCTTGAAAACCAAACTGATGATCACTGAACCAAAATGCATTGAAGAAATCAATTAAAGGATTTGATTTTAGTTCATTTGGTTAAACAAATTGGACCTTAGGATGATTGCTAGCGTTTTTCCATATCTGAATCAATCGACACTTTGTTGTAGTTGTAGTGAGAGAGTTTCAATTTCCAAGTGTTAAGACTAATTAGGTGAATATTAAATAAAGATGCCAGTGGAGTTTGAATTAGACCTTCCGAGTGTTTGATCTCTTGGTGTATTCACTCGACAACCTCCACTCAATTGATCAAAAGTGAATTTTGAAGAAAAATATAAAACACCAATGAACTAGGCCGACTTTCAACACATAAATGTCTGCTTTTATAAAATAATAATAGTCTTCTTTTAATGCAAGTAGAACCCACCCAATAATGCAGGACAATGAAATTCGCTGTATCTAGTTACTTTGAAAGGTTAACAAATGCTGTTCTTCCATTTCTTCTATCTCGTTTTCTTTTCAAGCAGTATCTTGACCTTCGTTGTCTTATATAATTACTACTCAACATTTGTTGACTTGTTGCTCAATTATTGTACAATTGATACTGAATCTTGAATTAACCTAACTCTATTGGATGACCAATCCAAGGGCTCCTTGGTGTTGAGGGGTGTATACTATTTCTTGCTTTCAAATAATTTCATCCAGCTTTTAGATAATTAGGGCTGCAAGTTGGGTTGCTCATGTGAAGAATTTCAACTACATCAGATTCGGGTTAAGGTTAGGGTTTGGGTCTATTGAAAATTTAACAAATTGCCAGTCTAATCTGACCCAACTTGCACCTTAAAGGGCCTAAACAAAAGCTTTACCCTATGATAGAGACAGAGTAGAGTCCATTGACTTGATAGGGTGCATATGGAGTCTATTGACCTTACCACAGAGTCTGGTTCTGCAAGTTTAATCCTATGCCTCTATTTCTAGAAAGATGCCACTTGCCAAGTGACCATCTTAACCATTAGGCTCAGTTTGGAAGGGGTACAAATACAGATATGTACAGTATAAATCCATACAAAATAATGTAAAATACATAATTTTACACTCTACAAATTTGTATTTATACTCCTAAACTGAGCCTTAGATTATTTGCAACTCAAAGACATGTTAATTTCAAGTCAATAAGGATCCTAAAACAGAATTCTACCTATTGCATGGATAGTCTTGAGTTTATTATGCATTTTCATGTCTTTTGATCCGAGCTTATGTTATTGCATGGATAGTCTGGAGCTTATGTTCCACCTGTATCGCATGGAGGCCTGATTTTTTTTTTTTTTTATTTCATTCTTTTATTTATTGTTTTGCTAGGTAAGATCTGCTATTTTGTCAAAGGGCGGCCTTTTGCCATTTTGGCAACAGTTGCCATAAAGCCTGACTCAAACTGTTTGTCGCATTCACTCAACTCAATCCTCAGCACTGGTAGGGATAATTTTCCTTCCTTGAGTTCCAAATCCCCTACTCTGAGGTATCCATCCTAGCTTTAATAATATGAGAACTGGTTTGGGTCCTAAACTAAAACTGATGGCCGCGGGATAAATGGCTAGTTGTCCAAAAGTATAGACTTGGGGCTCATTTGGGAGGGTTGAGCTAAAAAGCTAAAGCTTCAATTAAGTTGGTTTAATTGCTTTAAAGAGCTTCAGAAAAGCTACTAGCTATGGGAGGGTCATTTGGGTTCTTTGTGTTCTTCACCAAACGTAGTTTAATACGACGTCCATGTGAGGCCTATATACCTTAAAAAGTCGGAAGCTACTCCAAATGAGCAGTTAGATCTAAATGACTGCCAATTGGGTTTGCTTGAAAGTATTCCGAAAATGAGATCTAAAATTGCAGGATTTAAAATCAAGTTATGAAACATCTTAGCCTATCCTTTTGAAAGGCTAAAAACATTTTTCTTAAAGGTTAGTTGGTTATCTAAATTTGACGGTTTTAGTTGTCAACAAGGCTCTCCCGGGCTTTTTACACAGCGGCTTTGGCTTTGCAAGGTGGGCTTATAAGGACAGTCTAAAAGTTAATTAGTTTGGTAAAAAGCTCATAGGGCCTAAATATGACTTTCATTTAGCCAAAAATTGGTTTACTGATGAAGCTTGTTCTATTAATTGTCCAAAGTGGCTCAATGAAAGTAACTAAAACAAAGCTGAATCCCCAAGCGGGGGCCATAAGTGATTCCTTCTAATAGGGTTTCTCCAAGTGACATATTATTAGCCCTTGTAGTCATGAGCACTGTTAATATTACATGAAGTTAATTTAGATTAACGAGTCAGGCAAAAAAGCCCTTTGGATAGCAGTGGCTATCGAACATAGCCAAATTGTCACGCACACGCAGAGAGAGCTTTTTTTTGACAGCACAGGCTGTCCGGACAGCCAAAATTTTATCCTTCTGAGTGCTTAAAGCTTTATATCCGAACTCCAAAGTAGTTAAAAATGCTGACCGTGATCCGTGAGGCAGATCTATCTACCCTTACTTCTCAGTTCTCAGTAATATTGGTGTCCAGTACTAACAATTTTTGTCCCATCCAAATTTTGCAAAAATCCGAAAAAGATTCTACTCAATTTCACATGACGTGTCAATCTCCAATTGGACTCCAATTTTACAGGTGGCTTATTTTAAAAAAAGGAACTTTAATAAGAGGGTTGCTGAAGTGCCATATAATCATACATTTAGCCACATCAGATCAGACAGAGAGACAGATCACAGGTGAGTCACCTAGGGAAACTAATAACTTCCGGCCCATACAGAGAAATCCCTTTCCAGAAAAGAATTGTACAGGGCAATGATGTGATTTGAGGGTGGTGAATCTGGTGATGCCTCAAAGGCAGGCTGTTGAGTTCTCACTTCTCGTCCTTTGGTGGTCATACTGTCGAAGCTGAAGGCCTAGAGTCTGGAGGGGAGCGGTCGCTGCGCTTTGCCAATTGCCAATTGCCAATTGCCAATTGCCAATTGCCAATTGCCAATTGCCAATCTGCCATGCTACGAGCCTACCATCTTTCTCTCCTCTCGCGCGTCTCAAAGCGCTCAATATCTCGACTAACCAAATTCAACTAACTTCGAAAACCATTATTATGCCGACAGTTGCCAACTCACCCAAGCAAAGTGGAATAACCGATCATCAATTTCTATTTCTCTCCTAAGTACAATAGCCATTTACTTCATATAAACATCATTTATTTTATTCATTTTTGACACTCTTAAATCTTAACAAAAGGAAACAGGGGTGAGAACTGATGAGAAGTGAGAAGCACAACGCCGAAGCGGAATCGGGTTTATTGCCGGTAGTAGGTCCGTCTTACATACAAAGCCGGAGTCCGGCCGACAACCGACGCCGGTATCTTAACCCAGGGGCGACCACGTATCATGGTAGCTTGCCTCGAGAGCAGCCATCCTCTTCTGCTGCCTTAGATCCTTATAAAACCTCTCAATAAATTCCTCAGCTGCCTTGTCGACGTGGCTGTCTTCCTCGCTAGGTCGTAATGGGAACGGTGAGTCCGTTATCCTCAACTGCCGTACCATGGGGCTCTTCCCGAACCCCGGCAGGTTTACCAACGGCGACGCCTCCACACTAACAGCGTCATTGTTCAACATCTCAAACACCTTCTGCACCGCATTAACGGCGTCTATCTCGTCCTGATCACGATGGTGGTGGTGAGAAGAATAGAAATGGTGGTGGCCCTTGCGCTTGTTGACGTGGAAGGGGAAGTGAGAGGGGTAGGCGGGGCTGTTGCTGCAGCTGAACTCGTACTCACGGGGAGCGACGAACGACAGCTGTACGTCGTTGGAGCGGCAACTGAGATTGGAGTGGTGGTGGAACATCAGGTTGCCCAGTGCCTTCCCAGCAAGTTTGCCACGTTTCATCATCAGGTGAAGATCCATCATTAACTTCCGCTTCGAGATGCCTTTTCTCAGCATAAAGAACACTATCCGTACGATATTCCACAGTTTCTTGGCTATTTCCGGTGGACCTGACACCATCTTCTTTCTGCTTTCTGTGGTACTGTACAGAGAGAGAGATAGAGAGAAATCTCCGAGGGAGATGCCTTTGATTCTCAGAGAGAGAGAGAGAGAGACAGCAGAAGAGGAGTTGCCTTGATTACTTCGAGGGGGGATGTTGAGGAGGATTGCATTTAAAGGGTCGCCAGGGAAGAAGACAAAAGAGAAGGTTTAATTATTTAAATGGGCCTCGGGGAAAAAAGGTGGTGGACATTTTTTGGGCTTTTATTGGTTTTTTTCTTTCTCTCGAAGAATTATTGGGCCGAGATTACTAGAAGGTCCTTTGGGTTACTGTCTAATTACTTGATTCATCTTTTCAGCTTCAATGATTAGACTTTAGAGATATTTTGAAATGGTCGAAATGCCGCAATTGCCCTTTAACTCGGCCGACGGACAGTGCCTACTGTACTGCCTGAATTGTAGAATGACGATTGAAATGTTTTGGTAGGAGTTGGATGACGATCAGTGGAACAATTTTGGAGGGTAATCGCGGGTTTTTGTATGATGGTCACAACTCACCAAGTCAGAGGTCCCACTCTTGGTGCCCCCGGGTTTTTGTGGTTCAGGAGAGGGATTGACCCGCAAGCCAGCCACAGCCAGGAAGAGGTTGTTGGCGGGGATCAATTGCATTCACCTACCTTGAATTGATACGTGGCTATTCCATCTACGACTTCTGGGGCCCACCAATGTATTGAATATTGATGATTCCCAGCTCCCCTACCTTTTCTTACCTATATCTCAAATCTAACGGCAGGGGAATACATCTGGATTTTACGATGTATGGTATATGATGTAATAATACGGGTGATGTATACATTGCACTATAATTTTCCGGTTCCCTTTTTTAATTTTTCGATTTGTTTATTTACTCGTAATAAATACGGATTCTAAACTAATGCTTGGAAGAAAGCAATAAAAGATGGGAACAGTGCTGATCGTCTACAATTCTACTAATAATACTGAGCCAATGACAAGATACCATGTCCACTCCCTTCACGTGAATCACACATGTTAGGCTGATGTGGCATACCATGATTGGTCCAATTACATTCAGTTTCTTGACACCAAAATTGACGTTTCTGACATTTGTTAATTGTTCTTTAATGAAGATTTTGTCTTTAATATAATGGTCAACTACAATGCGTTCATTAATATTTAAATCTCATCCAATCCAATTACTTTAAAGTCTATTTACTTTCTTTTTATTGGATCAGATATTCATATTTCATAGAATTTATTTTTAAATTTAACATAAATATACTTGTAATCATGTTCAACAAATCAATTATGTTTTTAAGATGGTCTGGTACTGAGGGCTTGAGGTTTAGATAGATATATCTCTATATATTTCGGTTTCATGAAAATTTCTCTTCGCTAAAAGAAATAAAGAGAAGTCTATTTCTCCAGCTAGTTATATGCAGGAGTATGAGGCACACAAGGGATTCAACCCCACTAGGTGGTTTTAAGTATAGAAATATCTGCTTCATCAATTGTTTGTATTGATAAATTTATCTTTTTACTAAACAGACTTTTAGCTGTAACGGATGCAAACATGAATTCCAATAAGGTATATGTTTTTTTTTTTTTTTATCAAAAGTCCACTTGAATGCAAATTTATTTCTTTTTTATTGAAATGCTTTTACATCTTATCAATCAATGTAAATATGCATTAATCTGTCATTTGTCAATGCATAAATATAATATTACCAAATACAGACAAAAATGAACCCATAGAATACAAATTTACCCTGAACCAAGATTTACACTCCATTTATATCGTTTCCAAACGCAGTCTTAATTATATATTTGCATTGATACAATTAAACATCTTGATTAATCAGAAGAAAGTTGATAATAGCTTGGGTGGTATTAGCAAGGAGAAAATGCACAGCTAAAAAACGATAAGAACTTGAACTGGGCCGCAAACTGTCATCGTAAGATGAAGAACAAGTCAGGTACAGAAACATGATCAGTTCCATTATGGATGATGAGCCTGCTTGGTCCAAGTCCCATCTAGATCCTATTTGTTACTGTACGTATGGAGTCCTGAATTAAATCATCCAAAATGGCACTGTGCATGTATGTAACACTCAACCAATTATGATAAATTAAGAAATTAAGCTACCATATGTTAACCCTACTGTCTTTTTCATTCATTTGCTTCAAAATAGAAAATTCATTTGCTTCAAAATAGAAAAAAAATTGTAATGTCTTTCAGACAACATAGGGTTTTCACGAGTTACTTAGGTGGTGTTTGAATGTATGTTCATCTTATGGATGGACCGTTTTACTCCACTCCACGGGGTGAATTCGTCGTTTGATTGGCCGTGGATGGGATTGGTTCACAATATATCATGAACCATCCCTATCCACAACCCAAAATCTTGGCCACACATATATCTTGTAGATGTGGCTGGTCCACAACATTTTCACACTTTACTTTGATACAATACATACCTTTTCTTTCTTTTTAAATTTTAAATTTTAAAATAATATATATTTTTTAATTTTTAATATTTTATGAATAAAATAATATTTTTAATGTTAATTTTAGCACAAGCCTGATGGTGCTCCTTCTTCACGCTTTTTTATTTATTTAAATATTAATTTTTTAATGTTTTATCAATTAAATAATATTTGTTAAATATTTAATATGTTTTTTTTTATTTTTTAATTATTTTACTATCATTTTTATTAAAATTAGTATTTATTGATTAATATTAATTTATTGACACATTTTTCAATATATTTATTATATAAAATGCAAAAATTAGACATTTATGTTCAAAAGTGTGATATGGCTTGGTCCACACCATGCCTATAAAATGCCATTATGGGTTTATCCACAGATCATAACAACTGTGGAATATGATGTAGTGTAGATTGATCATTGCCAGAGGGTATGAAGCAAAGCAGTTATAAAACACCCACAAATTTTTCATGCACGTTATAAAACACCCCCTTAATGGGAGTGCTTCTAATCATCACTCTAAAAAGATGAGAGAGAAAGAGAGAGAGAAAAGAAGACAATATATCAACATCACTTAAAAGAAAGGCCATGGCTTGCCCCTTTCTGGGCGGGCTTCTAAACCACAAAATAACAAAAGCAAAGAACTTTCTTTCTTTTTCTGTTTATTTTTTTTTATAAATTTGTTATTTATTCCTATAAACTCCATGTATCAATAACAACGTAACACTTAAGTTGCTAGCAATTTCATCGTTTCACATGCATGTTATGTTAAAATTTAAGCAGTGTATTGGGACGGCATGTGGTCGACATTGGGTACAGCATGTGTGATCCACACACTTGAAGGTCTTTATCATTCACTTAATTAGCAACAGTAGTTGAGCGTATGTGACTGGCTCTAGACGGATCCGAAAAATTTTAGAAAGGTGTATATAGATCCAATAGATTTTTGTTTGAGTCATGGCTGAGCTGGCCCTGTAAGACACATGGCCGCTCAATTATCGCCCTCCCACGTCATCCTAATTCGGCTGGATCGGTATAGTTCGGCCACATCGGCTTAGCCCGGCCACGTCGGACTAACTTGACCAAGCTCCGCTATTACTGTGGAACCCCATCTTATCCTTTCAGCGATGTCAACTACACGTCATATGGATGAGCACAACTACGGGTAAAGAGGAATAAAGAAGATGACTCCACTGGGGAATGGGACTCTATCCCAAATACCTCGGTGGTTAACCTCATCTCGACAACCCGGGAAGGCCAGTCCGACCAGGACATGGACCTTCGGCTATAAAAAGGTACTCCATGCTCGAGGTAAGGCATCCAACTTCTGAGACCTACACTTCTACTTCGCTAAGACCGGCATCCTTATATCTCGACCCAACCATCCTATCACCTCCTATTGACTTGAGCATCGGAGTTCTTACCCAGGGATAACTCCTCGGGCCTTTGACTTCTGTTTCATTGATCACAGGTCTTGAAGCGCGGCTTCGTCCTTGTAGCTCGGCCCTACCCTGCCAACAAGGACTATTTGATTGCCCTCCTCGATTCGTGCACCACTTCGGATTGAGCAACATCAGATTGGCGCAGTCTATGGGAATGGTACAGAAAGCTTTTCCCGAAAATCTCATTTCTCGTCGCGCAATCAAGGAAGCAATTAAGATGCCTAAAAACCAGTTTGAACGAGCAACTGGCCATTCCCCGTCTCAGGAGAATCAAGAAGTCCCACAACCTTTGGCCACAGTAGATCTAGCGCAGCTCCGAGCCATCCAGGAAAAAGTTGACAAAATCTTTGAATTCATGCAAACACTAGGTCTGCCGCACCACCCAACCGGGCGGTCCCCCCTCACGCCCCGGCGCGCACGAAGGATGATCCTCGGACCGAGGACCCCAAAGCGTGCCGGTCAGACATAAGGGGAGAGGGGTCCGAGCATATGAGGCAAGACACGACCCGAAGGCCCGCCGCCACTGCCCGTTCCCGAGGACGGGACTACCATAACCAGACATACCAGTCAGCGCGCACCCCCGACAAAGAAAGGCTCGACAAAAGGATGTTGCCCTTCGTAGTCACCGAGTCAAGCTTGGTCAAGGATCACCCCACACGACCCAAAAGGGAGGTCATATACACTACAGTCCCAAACAATAGAGATGTCGAAATTAAAGAGCTCCGACAACGTCTGGAAGAGTTAGAGCGCACTTCCACCCATAAGAGTGCAATTCCCGTCGTAAACCAGCCTGTGCATATCACCAAGGAGCCACCCTTTGTAAACCAATCGTCGGAAAAGGTTGAACCTAACTGCAAAGGAGGCCTCGACATACTCGTCCATGTGTAGTTGCATCTCCTGCGATGCCTTGTACTTTTTGATGGCTTCCTCGGTCGCCTCCTGCCTCAACCTATCCCGCTCAGCCTTGAGCTCAGCAATCTCTCACTTCAGCTCCCGGACAAGACCAGCCTGCTTAGCCAGTTGTGCCTTTAGCTCAGCAATCTCTCACTTCAGCTCCTAGGTCTTCTGCCGCAAATACTCAGAGTGTTCCCGCTCGTACGATGACCGAACGTCCCGGAGATGATCAACCAGCGCGACCGCCGTTCAAGCATTCTGCAGACAAATCTGATAAATACACCAAAAAGGAGAGCAAAACACAAGGAATA